GGCTGGGGCTTGTATCTTACCCCCTTCACAAGGCGCTGGGTTCTTGCAGGTGTGGATGTGGTCTGGATGTTGTCCTGTGTCCTGTGGTCTCTATTTTAGGAAGATTTTTCTTTGTTATATTTTCATAGCTCTATGTGTTTTTGGGAGGAGATTTCCACTGCTCTACTCACGCCGCCATCTTGGCTCCGCCCTCCTCTATCTCACTTTTCAAGACAGGCAGCCATTTGGATCATCCTGACACTGCCCTCCCCCAAAGCCATGGGCTCATTGAGTGTAAGAATAATGGCGATCATGGCAGAGAGCAATGAAACTGAACGGCCCTGCTGGGGGCCCATCCTTGAAGCGGCAGCTCAGCCTCCCATGTGCAGGGAGACCTGCCAGCTCAAGCCCTTCCTGCCAGAGCTGCCTCTCCTTTTGTGAGCTTCTCTGCTGTGGGAAGCCAGCTTGCCATCCCAGCCCCTTGGCGGGGGCTTCACGGTGTCAGGAGTCCCTGGGCTTGGCGGCAAGCCCCCATTGTCCCACAAGGGCCAGAGACACCTGCGCCTGTCCCTGTGGAGAGTAGACACAAGAGAGCCTTGAGGTCCATTCTGAGGTTTCTGAGGCGGGTCCTCAGCCCCAAGCCGGCTCCCTAGGCCGACAGGAGCCAGGGAGAGGGTCTATACCGGCACCGTCCCCTAGGCATGGAGTGTAAGCCAGACTGCATTTGGCAGCAGTGTTATTTGAAGTTCAAAATGAAACAGATAAAATTAATTTTAATATATTTTATTTAACTCGCTATATCCAAAATAAAAAATTAATGAAATACTTTGCGTTTTTTGATAGTAGATCTTCAGAATCTGGCATGTACTTTACACCTAGGGCACATCTCAACTTGCGCGAGCCACATTTCAAATGCTCGGTGACCACACATGGCCAGTGGCTATTGGAGGGCACAGGTTGTAGACACCTCACGAGGGACAGTGTAACCAGTATCCGAAAGTATGTGTTTCTAAATGTTTATCTTCAAACAGGGATTTCTAACACTCTCCCCTTTGCAATGAGGTTTTGGATAATCAGAGATTTATTAATAGTGGCTGATCATTGAGGGAAACGTATGTTTCGTTCTAGAAGTGAATTTGCCATGGTAAAGTCGCACCCCTCTACCTCCTAACTGGTATTTTCCCATTTCATCTAGTGCACAAGCCAGGGGTAATAGATCTTGAATTGCTCCAGGAAGACATGCTCCAGCTAGTTTCTGAATCCCATCCTATCATTCAGTTGAGGGCACTGCAGTGTTCAGAGTGACTTTGTAATCTCGGCCCAGTGGCTGAGCTGGCAGGCTCTAGGGACTGACAAATGCTGTTGCCAAGAAAAACAAACCATTGGCACTTGGCGTGCGGTTTTTGTGAGCCTTGGAGGAAGGAGAGGATGTTGCAGCAGGAGCCATAAGAGTTTAATGCTGTGGAAATAGAAAATGAAAAGCAAGTTGGACCAAAGCTGATACCGAGTCAAAAAAAAAAAAAAACAGAAAACAGGTGGCCATGGCTTTTAGGATTTGTGAATCATTCTGAGCAGAAACAGGGTTTGCACACCCTTGACTTCAGACAGCTTTCCAAACTCAGGTGGCCGATTCCATCACCCAAGTAGAGAGGCTGGTTGGTGAGGCTGCTCGGATATCTGTAGAATATAGGATATGAAATCAAGTGTGACCTCCCACTGTTCAGCCCCCACTATTCATGCAGCAACAGGGTACCTGTGCTCTGCCTGCCTGAAAAACAAACTTACTAAAACACTGATTAATGAAAATAAAGTGCAGGAACTAGTTTCAACACAGTTACAAGAACAAATTTTAATTCAGATACTTTTGAAACATACTTGCAACAAATGAAAGGACTTCAGATCTCTAAATCTCAAAGCCCTTTTATTACTGTTTTATCAATCCCGGTATGAAAACTGTAAGTTGTATTTTTAAAACAGACATGTCTCTATTCAGAGCACGGCTTATTCACTTTGGATAAGTCTCTTAAACTTCTCGCACCTCAGATTTCTCACCAATAAAATGGGAATAGTAATTTCTGCCTCATTGGATTATATAGACTGTGTGTAGAGCATCTATTTGTGCTCCAGTGCTCAGCAAGTGTACCTTCAGTCTCCCAAAGAGAACACCCAAGGTTCCACTTGGTCAAGGCAGGCTTTGGTCCAGTCATTGCCTGACTGGGAACTCGAAATGACATTTACCATTTCCTGGCCCCAGGTAATACAGACTCATTTCGGTAGAGTTTTTTATGCTTATTGTCTGTGTATTTTCCAGGTTTTCAGAGAAGAGTGGTGTAGTTTTCAAAAAGAAACAAAGGCCTGCTCATAGGTTCCCTTGGTTATCCTGTTCTCATCAGGGTAATGAGCTCCAAAGCTGCCAGACCCAAATGTGTACCCCCTGGGTGCCCCCCACCCTGATGCATGCCATAGGCTCTTGTATTCCTCATTCCACAAGGAGAAATATTACTAATACATTAAAGAAATGGTGATGGGCTGACAGGCAGAATGTTTGCCTGTGTCCCTGGACATTTAATTAGACGTAGGCCATAAAAAAAAAAATCTAGAACACTTCAGAGTCAAATTTGTATGCAAAATGGCAGAATGGTTGTGCTGAGTACCTGTTAGTGTGTCTTTTCCCCAATCCTGGGGTGCGATCCATAGGTTTGGGAATATGGACATTAGGTACACAGTTTACCTGTGAGGCAGTGAAGCCGGTGTTTTAATAAGCCATGCCACACTTAGAAATTCAAATCAGTATTCCTCCCTTCCCCAAGGGAAGGTTGTAGGATTATTCTAGTACTTCTGATAGCCACAGATGTAGAGGGGAAGGGAGGGGGAAGGCGCGTCACGGCCTGCATTTAGCCAATTCAGCATCCCTTCTTCTCTGCGCCTATTTTGCTGAAGCATATAAAACAAATCTAAGATATCATGTCATTTCATTCATAAATACACTCATCTCTAACTGAGAAGGACATTTTTTAACTCATCACCTTGCCACGTATCCCATCTACCATATTAACACTGCTTCCTTAATATCATCTAATATCAAGACCATACTTAAATTTTCCCAATTTCTGTTCTACAGTTGGGTGGTTCGAATCAAGATTCAGACAAGGGCCAAATATTACCTTTGACAATTTACATCTCTTTTAAAACATTTTGAAACTTTAGTCATTCAACAAATACCATTGTACCTCTCGTGCTCACACAACAAACCAGTCTCCAGTCATTCCTCCTCCTCCTCCCACTCTGTATTATTATCATTATCATCTATCATCTTTATCTTTTTAGTGAAATTCTATTAAGTTCTGTTGCATAGTTTATCTTATTAGACCCCTAGCTCTGAATGACCTATGGCTTTTTCCAAAATTAAATCCACCTCAGTGTCCAAATATTTTTCACCAATGAGGATAATTAAACCTACCTTCAGACAGCACTGTGGTACCTCCAGTTGGATGCAGAAGAGTCGTTCCAAAACAGGTGTTTGGGGCAGTGACTCAGGGCGTGATTGTTCTCCACGTTCTCCGCGTGTCTCATTGGAAGGGCCCTCTCCCCATGGTGCAGAGATCAAAGACAAGTATGATCGCCACCGCATTTGCATGAACTGAGTGTGTAAATGCCTACATGCTTGAGTGACTTGTTCTAACACAGGCTTTTTTATTTGCTTCTAAACATAATCGATGTGTTTGTTTTCACCCAGATAATCGCTTATCAGCCGTATGCAAAATCCGTGGACTGGTGGGCCTTTGGCGTCCTCTTATATGAAATGCTAGCTGGGCAGGTAACGTTCCACTACATTTCATGCTTGTTGATTGCTGGGTAATGTGAATACTGCAGCTCTGTTCAGCCGTGATAGAAGGACCTGGCAGTGTGGTATATCTGATGCTGGTCTGACTTCCTTGATCCAGGTGAAAGAGGGAGAAATTTGCCCTTGAAAGTAGATTATATTCAATATGCACAGAAATTATCTTCTGGTTATAAAAACCTGAAAGCTACAAGCTGGAGTGTAAGCAATACAGCTTTTGCGTTGTACACAAATGCATCCTCCACTCAATGATGATGACAATAGCCTCTGTAAGTTTTCAGTTCTCAAAACTGGAGCCGGCTTATGGTTCCCTGCAAGTGTGTCTGCAAAAATGATGCCAGCTGCTCCCTATGTGTCTGATCAGTATTATTATTAAAGAAAGAAGGCAGTTAAACTTGAAGACGTGTTTTAATAGCATCTCTCCATCTCCTCTTATCTCACCCTTGGCAATTCATTGTAATTTTCCCAAAAGTCCAGCAAGGCTGAACTTCCAGTTAAGAAAAGGCAAGCTAGGTTTCTCTTAGGAATGCAACATATATCAGATAACAGTTCATTAACGTAATACAGTGGCCTTAATATCTGTATCACTGGGGTAAGTCACGCTAGCTGCTCTAACAAGCAAGCCCAAAATCTCACTGTCTTCAAACACCACACAGGTTTTTTTTTTCACATTCTTGGCATAGTCCTAGTGGTGGGGGAGGGGGAGACTGATCCACATGGTGACTCAGGGACCCAGGCTTTATTCAGCCATTGGGCTCCACCATTTTTGGCACCTCAGGTTCCTTCACTGAATCCTCCTTAGTCAACTGGCCAGTGGCGAGAGAGCAGGAGGACAGTTACACAGAACATTTAAGAGGCCAGGCTAAGAGGTGGCATGGGTAACTCTGCTTCCATTCCACTGGCCACATGGCCCCATTGAGATGCAGAGGGCAGGGAAGCATAGCGCACCTGTGAGCTTGGCCAGGAGAGGCAGGTCTGGTGAGCATCTATCATATCTCTACTGTTATGCCCAAGAAAATTCTGCTGTGGGCAGATTCTTATAACTCCCAGCCCCCAAGTGCTGGGGCCAAGGAGTTTGACTCTCTGTAGCCAAAGCCTTAGTAAGAGAGAATGAAAAGAAATCCCACATTGAGCAGCAGAGCTACCCCCAAAGAAATCTCTGAATCTTCCTTCCTGGGCAAAAATGTCCCCCTGTCTGACATGGTATCTCTGTTGACTCATTTTTTCATTCAGCACCGACTTACTGAACACTTACTATGTACATGCTAGCAGCCATAAACGAAACAGACAAAAAGCCTTACCTCCAGAAAGCCTACGGTCTAGACAGACAGACAATAGATAAGTTAAATAAGGAAAATATAGAGCAGTGATAGGCTAAGAAGAAAAGTAACAGCAGGAAAAGAAGATACAGTTTTGGGGGAGGGTTGAAATTTTAGCTCAGATGGCCCTGGAGGGACCCATGTAGAGATTAAGTTAAGACCAGAAGAAAGGGAAAGAGAATGTCCATGTGCACATCTGGGGATAGAGCATTCCAGGCAGGGGACACAGCAAGTGCAAAGGCCCTGGGGTGGAGTGTGTGGCCATGCTTAAGAAATGGAGGGGAAGCTGCCAGTCTGCCCAGCACAGAGTGGGCTAAAGAGGGAGTAAGAGGCCCGAGGTCAGAAAGCAGAGGGGCGCACCAGGTCTTGTGGGCATGGAGGTCATTGCAAGACCACTGGCCTCCACTCTGGGGTGGGAGGCCATTGACGGTCACCCGGTTATGTCTCTTCCATTACGTCTTCCATCTTTGAGATACAACGGTAGTAAAAGACACTCAGTACTAGCCTCCATTTGGTCATTATTTCTCAATGATGTTAAAACCCGATTGATATTTAAAAAGTGGTTTGTGTATTATTCAGGTTTTTTCCCCAATAAAATGTTCACCTTAGGCCAAATACCTCTGTTAGTAAACATGGAGAAGCAGGTTATAGAAAACCCCTGTCAATGAGAGAACAGCTGGCAAAACACAAGTTACCTGCTCCTGAAGTTCGTTTCCCCTCTTTAGAGAACTTTGACAGTAAAATGTAAGGAATTATCGGCCCCGTGGGAGCCATGCCTTTCATGAAAGCATAGAAAGCGGGGTTCCCCTCCTTGGTCCCACTTGAATGTTCTGACTCTTGAGTCCGGAGAACAAACCCTCTTTTCATTAAGAGTCACATTTGCATATGCCAATAAATGAAATTAGTTGTGTTAGATGGAAATAGGATCTGTTTCCAAAGGCATTTTACACAAGAGAAAATGAGGTGGCATTGGCCAGCTGGAGACTAGCATTTCAGAACCCAGGCCTGCAGCCGAGTCGTCCTCCCACCCCCGGGAGGGCAATGCACACGCGCCCACTCCCATCCTTCTCTCGAGGCCTTCCTGGGACTTCATTCCCCAGGGGAGAGCTCAGGGAACACTGCACTTGTGCAAGGATGTCCCTGTAGGGTGCATTTTGAAGTCCTATCTCAGACTGTCCTTGAGTGCCCGGACTTGAAGGTTTACCTCACCTCCCTGACAGCTCAGCACCCCGCCACCCCCCCCGCAACACCCAGTGGTTCCGTAAGCATTCAGGCACATTTTCATCATTTCCCATCCTGCTTCTCGGAGTCACTTAGCCTGCCTTGTATGATCCCTTGACATTTTCAGAATCTCTGCTGAAAATGGCGGGACTCTAAATGTGACGCCTTAAAGGCATCCCACATTCAGGCCCTGTGGAAGGCGTTCGGGCACAGGCATTGTATCTCTAAATCTTCTCTGTGCCTGCCTCAAACACAGTATTTTCTTTTCAGAACCCACTTCTTCATCATCCTCTCTGATTCAGTGCAAACTTAAACATACTCGTGGGCTGTGACTCAGCCCCGAAAGGATAATGAAGGCTCTGCTCGTATTACCCAAAGCCCCCCAAAAGCTGGAGGAGCTGCAGAGACCCAGCAGGGGCAATAGATGCTGTTATTGAAAAGTAAGATTAATTATCAAGTCACTGATTGGGTTATGGTCTAAATTTGTCCTCTTTAATCACAGAGGGCTGAAGACAACCAGAAAAAATAGTTTATTGCAATTTTCTCCTCATTTGGTTTATTTATCGTCAGAGGCCAAGGGGACAGTTAAGTATAAACAGCCTCAAGTCTTTCTCCAATTCCTAGATTGCATGACAAATGTGATTACTTTGGGGCATAAATACTATTTGCCCAGCACTCTAGTGAGCAGGTTGGGGCTCCGAGTGCCCATGAGTATTCATCATAAAGGGCCCAGCCTTCTTTTCTTTATGCTGCTTCCCGCCAGGGCTGTTTCTGCTTTGTCTTCATTCCTGATGAATTGGAAATGGGTACTTTATCCCAAAACTATAGCCTGAACGACCCTTGGGTGCTCTCCCACCCCCACCCTTGGTCATCAGCGATCTGTAAATAAACACGCAGGGCCCCCAAACCATGTGCTAGTAAGTGATTAAGGAGTCACTTTGGAAAGAGTGAATCGTCACCCCCACCTGTCTGTTTAAAACCCACAGATTACACGTTGCTAAGGAGGGCACCAGGGAGGGCACCCGCAGATGAGAAAATGTTCACACCAAGCCAGGACTTAGCAGGTAGCTTAGCTTGAAACACTGTGTCCCTCCATACAGAAATTTAAAAATAATCCTGGCAGTTGGGGGGGAAAGAGGAAAGAGAGGCGTCCCACAGTGGTCATGCATTACAGACCTCACCGACGCATTGCCTCCAGTTGTCCCCAGGCTCCGTAGCTGTCGTGACTGGAAAGGCAAATGAATATAATTATAACTTTTCACCATTGACCTGCCTTCAACAGCAAGACCTGATAGCAAGCAATTAACTGTAAGAGTGCCCCAGGGGGGGACCTAGGGAGACTTAACAAGAGCCATAAAAATGTTCACATCCTTTGGCCACATGATCTCACACCTGGGAAATTATTCTTAGGAAGTAATTCAGAGAAGGGAAAAATAGTATGCGCAGAGATGTGTATGGTAGCATGAGTTATTAGACTACAGTGCCGGAAGCAATTGTGAATGTGCCCGCTGACAAGTGACTCAGTCTCTGATGATGGATGCCCTCAGCAGACTGGGCAGCGCCAGAGGAAATGTGTGTACGGCTGTCGGGAAAACAAGGAACTCCAAGTTAGGCATCATGATTTGAAAATACTGTGAAAAGCCTTAGAGTCCACAGAAAGCTAAGAGCAGTTTTTGTGTTTAGGTAAAGGGAAAGTAGCCACTTTTGCAGACTTGCCCCCGCCCCCAAGAATACATCATTTTAGTTTAAAGTAGGGCTCCGGGGAGCTTTCCTGACTCTGATGGTCACCACTGCTGGTCCCCGGGCATTTGGGTGTCCCTAGCGTGGCTAGTTCTCCCGGTGAGGTCCGAGTGGACATGCTCCGGGCAGAGCCCCTATGTGCCCGAGCAGGACGCACCAGAGCTCCTATGCCAACTTCTGCAGCAAGGCCAGGATGGCAGCTGCTCCATGAGCCTGGGTCCCTGGCCACCTCTGCTGAGCCACAGTGGGCATGTGGCACAAGCAAGAGAGAAGCAATCCAAATTAAGGCTGGGAAATCATGCCAGGTCTCTATTCCAGAAACAGTCCCTTTCTCTGCAATGTTTTTAAATTTCTCCGGCCACGGCGACTGCCTGCTCTTTATCTTCAGAACTCACCCCTACCCGCCGTGCAGGATATGGATCGGCCTTTTAAAGTTTGCAAAAATGATCTTCACCAACGATCACATCCTCTTTACGTGCTGGGTGGACCAACAGCTGAGCCCCTCCCGCTCAGCCCTACCAGCGGCAGCGCCAGGGGGCCACCTCAGCCACTAGGCACCAGGACAAGCATGGGGAAGTGGCATTGCTCAGAATGGCCAAGAGCCCAGGCTCTGAAAATCAGGGTGCCTGGGTGGGCATCCGGTTCTTGGACACTCCACTCTGCAGTCCCACCCAAAGCACTTCATAGAACCTCAGTGACCTCAGCTGTCACCTGGGATTAATAGAAACTATGTCACCAGGTTGTTTTGAGGATTGAGGCCCACATGACACTCCACGTGGTGCCTGGCCCAGAGCAGCAGCCTGAGAAGTAAATGGTACGGCTGCTGCCCTCTCACAGACACTGGCCGTTCTTTACCTGGCCATACGGGCTCACAGCACAGTGGGTGAGAACAGAACCTCAGGGGGAGAGGCATGTGTCCTCCCTGGGATTGGCTGATGCTCGTGGCCTCACAGGGACGGGACAGAGTGAAACCGCTAGCCTCTGCCAGGGTGTGTGGGCTGGTGGCTTTTGTTACTCCTTAGGAATCTGACTGCAACAGACGAGCCTAAGGGGCCTCAGAGGATCCTTGCAGCCCCAGATTGTGATGACTCACAGTGGGGTAAAAGGCCTTCTTTACTGCAGGACTTCTCAGGGCCTTTAAAATGTAAATGTTAAAGAAGACAAGTAGTGATTTTATAGCATCTTACTACACTAATGGACAGTGACTGTGAAGGGGTATGTGGGGAGGACTTGGTGAAGGGGGGAGCCTAGTAAACATAATGTTCTTCATGTAATTGTAGATTAATGATACCAAAATAAAATAATAAAAAATTAAAAAAATGTAAATGTTAAGACAGATCTCCAGAAGTGACTATAGGCTGCAAACTCTGACCCACGAATATCCTGAAGGGTTAATGTTCTAAGGAACACTTTCTGGGGTGGGTCAGCAGCCAAGTGTCCTGCCCTCACTGGGGACCCGGAAGGACTTTGTGGTAAAAGTCTTCCTTTGACCCGCAGTGCACAGGCCTAATCCCTGACACAGCAGCGTCCATTTCATAAATGAGCCATGTGGGGAAGCTCACCTGGGCGAAGCGGGGCCCATGCCCAGCGACAGTTAAGCAGCTGTGATAGGCCAGTGGCCTGCACAGAATGTTCCCCACACAATCCCTGTCTTCTGCATTCGAGAGGGAAATATTTGAAAGAAGGACAGTCTCCTGATCACTGCACAGTTGTCTTTTGTCCCAAGTATAGTTTAAATTTAAGCCAGACTCGGCATTAGCTGAGTCGTGACCATATCAGCCAGAGTGACCAGGAGGCCTCTTTCCATGAGAAGGAAACTATACATGGGGTTCGCTATCAGAGGACTAATCCCTGGTCTGCCTTAATTATGCTGAGCTCAGTTAGCTGAGCCAAAGGAGAACATTAAGAATTTTCCCATAAACTAACCTATCCTGTGTGCTGTGCCTCCAGAGTGACAGGTAATTTGCTAGGCCCCTCAGGATTAAAGATGCCAGAGGGCATCTGAAAGGCATCCAGAGCTCACTTGTGCCTCCTGAGGATTCCAGGAGCCCTTCCTAGACAGTTTGTCTGCCTTAGTAACAATACCAATACTGCTAAGCACTTTCATTGGGTACATACTGGGTGCAACACAACATATCAGGCACTTTACAGACTCCCCAGGGAACCCCATTTTGCACGTTGGGAAACTGTCTTAAAGAGGTGGGACACTCACCTGTGGGCACCCAGAGCTGGAATTCTGGTCCACATCCACCTGACTTTGAAGCCATGACCTCCCGCAGTGCACCAGGCCTCCTGCTTCCTACCTGGGTGCTGTAGACCCAGCAGAGGAGGACAGGGGGGTGTCTGGTAGAAGCTAAGCTCATTCATCTCCGCCACCATGCAGGTGGCAGGCCCCCCAGAGAGTGGCTCCCTGGTGGGTCAGGCAGGCTCTGATGTGAATTCCTGGACCTGGACTTGCAGAAGTACTCTCTGCTCCTGTTCTGACGGCCCCTTCATGCCACAGAGGCATTAGCATTCCCCATCTGCCCCCACCTCTGAACACAAAGCCATCTGTAACCTAACATGATCATAATTAGATTTTTTAACACATAATTACAAAATTAATGAATTAATTATAATTTATTTGCAAATCATTAAAATTATGACTCAAAAAACATTTTCCCTAACGATGGTTTTGGGTTGCTCAGGGCGAATAGTTAAAGGGATAGAGTTAAAACATGAAGAACAACCTCCAACCTGATTAAAGATAATCACATAAGCCCACAGGTTCACTGCGCTACTTCTGTAGCCTGCGTGTGCCCAGAAACCAAGTCTGTTCCTTGGTCCTGAATTGGATCTTCAGGCACCATGTGAATGAATTCCCCTGCCTAAATATTTTCCTATCTGTCTGTTTTCTGAAATAGCCTCCATTCGACGGTGAAGATGAAGATGAGCTGTTTCAGTCTATAATGGAGCACAACGTTTCTTATCCAAAATCCTTGTCCAAGGAGGCTGTTTCCATCTGCAAAGGAGTAAGTAGATTTGTGTTCGGCAGCAGAAACACCCTCCCCACACTTCTGAGGGATGGCAGAGACCACACACCCATGCATACCCATGCCAGGACCAGCACTTGGTGACATGCAGGGCGTAGCAGGAAACGGGGGTGCCTGGAAAGCAGGTTCAAACCCAGGACTTCTTAGAACTCTGGCCCAGGCAGTTAATAGTCCTGTGCTTTGGTGTCTGACTCACCTTGCGAAATTGCAGTGCGAGTTATGGGAATCACAGGCCCTTAGGAAACGTGAGTCCCCTTCTCTGACCTCACTGGGTGTGTCTTGGTTCATTCTTCATTCGCTCCTCTGTCTTTGAGATACAGCATAGAGACAGAAGTGGGCACATATCAGCAGTGCGTAAATAAATTAATTTTCACCAAATGAACACACTCATGTAACTGGTTGAGAAAGAGAATGTTCCGACACCCTGGAGGCCCCTCCTCTCCCACCCCCAAGACAAGCAGCGTCCCTACTCATAACTGCACGTATCAAAGAGCCGTGCCTGCTTTGAACTGTGCACAGTGGAATCGTGCAGTGGGTGTCAGCATTGTGATCGTGAGCTTCCCTGTCCTGCTGTGTGTGGTGGTGGTCCTTTCATATTGCTGTGTGCTACTCCATGTGTGGATATACCGCAGCCTATTTACCCATTCCACTGCTGATGGGCCTTGGGGTGTTCCCACTGTGGTTTGGGGCCGGTACAAATAGGACTGCCATGAACCTCCTGGGTCTTTGGTTTGGAGAGTAGACAAAGACATTTCCATTGAGTTAATACTTAGGAGTGACTGGTTTTTAATAGTCAAGTTGTAGGTCACAAAATCATTTCAGACCTAGTAAGATGGAGAGCAAAACACTCCCACCATTTTCTGGTGAGCCTGACCATTTGGGAAGCATTTACCACATATCTTCCAAGGACAAGCCCCTATTTATGTATAAATAGGGAGAATGGGTCCTGACTTCAAAGCGCTTATGGTCAGTGCTCACTGCCACATCCTGCCGGGGGTGCATTGAAATTAACTAGTCTCCTTCCTTGTTTCAGCATTCATTCATTTTTCCAACCCATGAATCCTTGATTGAAAGCTTTTGGTCCAGGCACTGAATAGACATGTGATGCTTGTTACAGCATCTTATGGGATCCTTTCGGCACTCACCACTTTTAGTTACATACATGCCTTCTCACATACGTAAGTTCACATACATATAGAATGGCAGCCTTAAAGCAGAGAGTGTGTAAGCATACTGGTTTAAGTTCTTAGGTTTGGCCATGGGACCAGATTGCTTCCCTGTTTCCTTATCAGGAAGATCAGTATAGAAGGACTCACACTTGTGAATGTTGTGTTTGTGAGTTGATGTCACCCTGTGCAGGCCTGCAGCAGAGCCAGCAAAGGGGAGGTGCCACGTCCAGAATTTTCTTTTTCTCCTACTTTTGTGGTGGGGGTGGGAGGGAAAGGGGCTGGAAAGGGTCCTTATGTTTCTCTTTTTTTTTCCAGTTCTACTGAGGTATAACTGACAAAATTATAATGCCTTTAAAGTGCACAACAGTATGATTTGATCTACGTTGCAGCATTGAGTTAACATCCATGCCTCACATAAGCTACTTTCCTCTTTATCATGGAGAGAATACTTCGGTTCTACTTCCATAGCGCACTACAGTTGAACAGCGCGGCATTACCCACTCTGTCACCACCCTATGCATGAGATCCTTTTCTCCTACTTTTCTAGCTCATGACCAAGCACCCAGGCAAGCGGCTGGGCTGTGGGCCCGAGGGAGAGAGGGACGTGAGAGAACACGCCTTCTTCCGGAGGATCGACTGGGAGAAACTGGAGAACAGGGAGATCCAGCCACCATTCAAGCCCAAAGTGGTAAGTCACAGACGCAGCCTGTTTCCTGAGCCATATGTCTGCAAATCTGGGAGGTGTCCTGCCCACCCTTTCTTCTGGAGAGAGGAGACCAAGGACCCTGACTTCTGCAGGGTGAAAAAAAAAAAAAGTCAGGTCCCAGCCTCACCCTCAGTTCTGTGGTCTGAGCAACTGGGACTCCTGCTGACTGAGGGCAAGCACAGCCCGGGCAGGGGTGGGACCCTGTGCCCGCCATGCCCCCCAGTAGGTTGGCTGCAGAGCATCCCACAAAACTCTGAGCCTTTTAGGCCTGCTTTGGGAATTAGGCGTGGTGGACTCGCACAGCCGGCTGAGCTGTGACCCTTCTGCGGCCTTGGCAGGACTCCTCAGCTGTCTCCGTCTTCCCTGGGTTTGCCTTGCCCGGATGTTAGCACTGAAGCGGGACTGAGCCACGGCCAGCTAACGCTGGCGGGCCCTGCTGCGGTTCCCACGGTGGCCACAGCTCCCGCTGCAAGGAGTGTGTGTCAGCCCCATTCCTGGCATCGCCACCTTTATTCACGCTCTTCCTACATGGCCCCCTTTCTTTTTTTTTTTTTTTCATTTAACAAATGCTATGTCCTCAACGCCTTAGAAAGTAGTTCGTTTAACCTTCACAACAGCCTTGCAAGGTGGGTACTGTTGTCCCCAGTTTCCGCTGAGAAGACTGAAGATGTAGAAAGGCTGAGTGACTTGCCTGAGGACACCCAGCTGGTAGGTGGTGGAACCAGGTTTCACACGCCTGTTCTGGCTCCAGGATGCATGTGCCCCCCACTGCACCATCACTCCGCCTCAGGGATTGCCCTGAGAGTGCCCTGGTCCTTCGTGACAGCCACCACTGGCCTTTTTAAAATTTCTATTTCTGGAGATAAACTGAGTCTTTAAGACATCGGCCTCCTCACTCATGCCACCTGCCACTTTGCAGCGCCCCGCGACGTGCATTCCTAAGGGCTGTGCGTCTGCACCTTCCAGCTTCACCACAGTGCCTCTGTCCCCAAGACTGCAAAGAGAGCAGCTTTACCCTGCCACCAGTTTGGGGAACATCTGTATGTTGGCTGGGCCCAAATCTGTCTCCTCTGACAGGTGCCCCACGAGCAGGCAAAGGGACCCTCCCAGGGCGGCTGAGTGACTGACTGGGTGGCACCCAGCTTTATTCTTAGAGCAGCAACTTCCTCATCAAATATGCTTTCGTGTCCTCTATCCAAGAATAAAACTGCTGTCGGTGAGCCCACTGGCTTTATTTTTCCAAGATATATTTAGCACAAACTGAAGAAAAACTAAGATTAATCAGGTCAGTTGACTTCCTCCTGAATCATCATCTCAGATAGGGCCCTTGCAGATCTGCCACCCTCGCCTTTTCTTTAGCTGGTCCTGGACTCTGATTTGGGGGAGCCTCTCCTAGGGTTCTGAGCCTTCAATTCACAAAATCTGGTTTTAAGGGGGGAGGCAGGTGAAGACAGATACATGACACTGCTAACATCTCAGAACATTCTGTTGGAGATTTTCTTTTTTCCCTTTCATATTTATTTAGCCTTCTTAAATATGAAAGGTGCACAATAGCATCTTATACCCAGCTTAGCTTCTTTGCAGTAGCAAAGTAGAGACACAGGCTGACCCTGCCTTAAAGCATTGAGCTCAGTGCAATTGCTTGTCAATCACTTCCCAGAAAAAGACAAGGTGCAGCAAAGTCGACCATAAAACACATCTTTTTTAATTCCCACCTCACTTTTAGAAGATATTGTTTATTTGCATAGTCTCCCACTTCTTGTGGACACTGCAGCCCTAAACTCAGCTATAGTAGCAGAAAAGAGGATGACTTGGCTCTAGCAGCAGAGAATGTACATTGTTCCCTGTGGGCTGTGGAAACTACTGGAAGCAAAGTCACACTGCGGCAGGCAGTTGAGCCATAAGCAAGTATTTATTTACTTATTCCTGAAGTGCTGCTGTTTGCTTTGTAACTGAGTACTTGTTAAAATAAAAGAAGAAATGTCTCTGGCTGTGAAGAGACAACCCCTGAGCTCCCAAACAGAAGCAGAAATCCCGGACTAAGGTCCTAAAAAAAGGTTTTGTGTGAAAAGCCTGTTTGGCAAGGCCTCCAGTCAGAAGGAAGGGAGAGACCTCTTCTGTTCACAGCAGGACTTCTCAGATGGAAGCCCCCGTTCTGCTGGAGAACCTGACTACAAAAAAGAAGGAGCTAGAAAAAAATACAGGTGTCCAGAAGGCGGGACAAGTGAAGAGACAAGACCAATCGTGGAGGTTAGAAGCAAGCAGCTATAAGAGAGAACAGCAGACGTTTTGTCCCAAAACAGAAGAGAGTCAAGGGCAGAGAGATGGATTAGGAAAGATCTGGACCCCGGGAGAGGCTTGGTTTCCCCTGCTCACCACACTGTGCCAGCCGCGTGGCGGCAGCTTAGCTCCTAATCCCAGACGAAGGGGCATTGCCGCAGCCCCTGGGGCAGCATCCTTTCTGTTCTCGTGGTCCCATGCTGGATCCGAAAGACCACACGGCTGAAGAGGACACTGACCATAGAAGAAAGCATTCTGAGGCTGAAAACTACCCTGGGGTCCACACAGCAGCAGAGAGCTAACCGCGTATAAAAGCTACTCCCATGATGTTGCTTCCCAGCTTTCCCATTGAAAAAAAAGTTCTCGGATCCAGAGTTAATTTAAAAGTCAAAAGCGTGTACAGATAAAATGCAGAGCCCGGTCCTCTCTGACTGGCAGTTTTGTTATTTCAAGGAAAACCTGAAAACCAATCAACACATCACCACCGGAGGCTTTTACTTAACGTGTGCAGTGAGCCCGTTTCCTAGAGCGTCTCTCTGAGCAGTTTTAGTCTGGGCTGAAAAAACCTGTCTGTCTGCATGGAGTTCGCTCCACGTGGTTTTTACCAAGTGCTGGTGAATCGGTTTCCCTGAGATTTATCAGGTGAAGGACCATTAGCTCCTAGCTCCATGAAATCAAGCTTTTGGTTATCATGAATACCCACAGTGTCTTTGAGAGCCCAGTTACCTGCAGGTGGTGCCTCTGGAGAGTGAATTTGTGCTTGTATACTTGGTATTTGGGGGCCTTATCTTAGTTTTTTTGACCCTCCCAGGAGAGATGATTCCAAAGTCACCATCTTCCTCAGGGGAGTAGAGGTGCTCTATCCCAGGCAGCCACAGAGCCTGTCTGGAGGAATCGGGGTTCTATACTGTCCTCTCTTTTTATTTTCCTGAAACCAAAGTGACATCACCGAAGCTAGAGCAAAGTGCCATGGAAAACGCGGAATTCCACCACCAAAGGCGTTCTGTGATGCAGTTGATTCAGCAGGAGGCTCCGCACAGGACTTGCCATCTCAGGGTGACATTAAGGTCAGGATCTGCAGTGTGGCCGTGGCCTGGATTCTGTTTAAGGTCACACTTCCAGGAGAGTGGAGAGAGGAGAGTGACCAGCCTCAGGTGTGCGGGACCACGGCCACCCTCCACTGAGGGTGGCAGGTCAGGAGGCCCAGAGGTCCACCTGCTCACTGTCAGGCACAGAAGTGGCAGTGGGAGAAAAGAGCCTGCAGGCGAGGAGAGCCTGCCCGGCCACAGCCCACTGTGGCAGAATCCAGGGCCCCCAAAAGGCCACAGTTGTCAAGATGAAGATGATTTTCTAGAAGACAGGGTGATCATCTGTGCTGGTTTATTTTGTAAGACAAAAGCCAAAGTGGACAGCTGTGTTAATGCTGTCCTGGGCAGGAGGCAGCAGCATAACTCTCTCTCCTTTGTGGAAAAAAGCACAAAGTGAGTTGGTTTCCATTTTCTCTTCAAGAAGACACAGTGTACAGGAGCCTCTGCTCCATAGACAAAGGCCCATCAGCTCAGCCTTTGGCTGATGTTCTGAATGACACTGAGTTGTCAAAAAGAGGATGGTTAATGTTCAGAAGATCCCGTGTAAGAAAACTTTTTTGAGTTAAAAATGATGTCACCCCTGGTTAATGTTCAGTGACTGAGAGCGGAGAGGGTCCAGGCTGCCTCCCATGGCACAGGTGAGCAAGGAGGTACCGTATGGAAAGAAGATGCAGCCCGCCTGTTGGGCCCAGCATCCTGAGAACCCACCGAGGGAAGGAGAGCTCTTTCTTTCCTCTTTGCCTGAAAAATAAAAGGCCTGAGTTTGTGTCCCTGCAGCCTGCCTTCAGAGGCACACAGGAGCCCAGGATGCTGATCTGACATCATTTCAGATCTTCTAAGCTTCCATTCTAATTGAGTCACGAGAAAAAAAAATGCCCAAGAACAGCCTTCAAATTCCCATTCATACTGCGCACAAGAAATAAGTTTGTACAACATCAGAAGTGGAAAGTTAATTGATTTTTATTTTTTGAATTCTACCCTTTGGCACCAAGGAGCAGAACAGCTAGTTCACAGGCAGGCCAAAAACATACACTATGCTTAACTGGTCATCAGAGAGAGAGATTCACCTATAAAACTGACACTGGGAAACTAGCCCAGAGTTAATGGATGCACAGAGTACTTTGGAAATAGACCTGTCTTTCCCAGGTAGCGTTTGTTGGGAAATTACTGTTGTTAAAAAGAAACAGAAAAAAAATAAAAGGAATTTAATCCAGACATTGTCATCCTTGCAGTGAAAACCACAGAGAATAAGAAAGAACACTGAGAGCAAGCAGAGGTGCTGGTGAGAATGCACAGCTGGGTTCACGTCCCCATCACCCAGAAATCCTTTAGTGCTCAGTGCCATTAGCTCTGTTAGAGAGTTTCAGGGTGGCTTAATGATTGAAGCTGGTGCCACCTTCATATTTATTTCTTTTTAATTATTTCAAAATAATTTCTAATTATAGTCTTGCAGAAGGGTTTCAAAAGTAGTATAAAGAACTGCTTCATTGTCTTTACCCAAGTTCCCTCAGTGTTAACATTTTACACATCAGCTATATCATGCTTTCTCTACACCACTCAGTGTGTGCGCCTGTGTATGTGTGTGTACTGACACACACGTACCTATGTTTTTCCAAACCATTAGAGAATAAGTTGGAGATGTAACACCTCTTAACACCTAAATAATTCCAAGTATATTTCCTTCAACTAAGAACATCGCATGGTACTGTGTTCTTTTTAATCATTGCTCTGAAAGTTATTTATGCAGAGCAGCAGCTAACCAGATAAAAGGAGAAGGGGATACCAGAGTGGTCATCTAAGCGATGAGTGCTGTAGGCAGCCTTAGGCTGCATCTAATCAGTCCTTGCAGGGAGCGAGGTGCTTTCATTCTCTTGGTCTTTCAGTGGAACCAGCAGCAGTGATGCTAATTAAAATTAAGATTCTCAAGGCTCAGGGAGCTTCACTGATGACAAGTGAAACTAACCAGCTTCTGGAGATGGGAACTGGCCACATCATGATGCATGTAGGTTTGATTTAAGCATTTAAAGCAGCCTAAGACAGCATCTTCTACTCGGTTAATCAGAGGCAAGAAATCTCCTCTTTGATAATTACTCTCCCTATACTTGTCTGCTTGAAAGAGAAGTAGGAAGAAATGAGACATTTAAAATAATAATCAATATAAATAAGTAGCTCTATTGCAAGCCTCAAGCTCAGCAGTGAGTGACAGGCTAAATGCAGACCCTGTGAACCTCCAGTCATGTGAATTGACACGTTCCCATTGTCTGAAGTGAAGGACTCTAGCCCTGATGGTCATTACAGGGGCTTTTCTTGGGAGAGGAACCTTGAACCCTCTAAAGCTGACCATTGGCATGAAGAAAGATGAAATAGAGTGCATGCTTTTATTCCACAGGCTACAGCCCAAGATAAGCCGGAGCCTTTGACCTCACTCACATGTGGCTGTCACACTCATTTATGTGTGGCTTATAGCCCGTGTCTATCAGCAAACCCGTCAGCAAAGTGGGTGCCCTCCAGACCGGAATCGGCCCCCTCTGAGACTGGCCCCAAGGTGGCAGGGGAGTGAGTGCTGTTTAATTTTGCCGGAGAAACCAAAGCCTGTCTCCAGGCTTTCACCCCAGGTGATGCTAGCAGGAGTTTGCAAAGGAGCTCCTGATTCTTTTTTAAAACTATCATTTAAATACTAGCTCTGAGTGGGGAAACAGCTAAGCAGTTGGAAAGGATGTAAAATGAAAAGATGCTCTTTCCCCTTCCCCAACTGCTAGTCCCACTATTCACTCTCTTTTATGTAACCGTCCAGAAAGTTGTATGCATGCGCGCACATGTACACAGGCAAGGTTATACCAAACATTCTGTTTTGTACCTTGCGACTTTCACACGTTGTGTCTCAGAGGTGTTTCGGGGTCAGCTCATGTGGGTCTGTGGCACCCTCTACACGGGCCAGTTCAGGGGGCGGGGGGTGCTGACTGTTTTCCAAATACTCTCCCCTGTCCGTTCTTATTCTCCAGCCTTTCTGTACCAAAATGCACTGGCTTCAGTGGGCATCCAGGCCTTCGGTGAGCACATTTCCAGAACTTTGAGTGGCTAAATAAGCGAACTAACCTCACTTTCTAACCCTCAGCGTGTGCTCCTGCTTGTGTTGGGTCCTGCACGGAAGACCATTCCTTGAGCATGCTGATCTTAGAAAGGACAGACCCATGGCTGCTGCTCAGCAGCCTGACCCCCTCGCTGGATGGTTCCACAGTGTGGACATGACCTCGCAGGAGGCCCAAAGCAGGGTGCACCCACTTGTTTCTGCTGCTGGTTGTTTAACTAAATGAAACAACACAGCACCGTGAGTCAGAGCGTCAAGCACCGACGTTGGCACTGTTCTTACTAACACACTCCCCTAGGGCCACGGCACGGGGCTACAGTCAGCCCCTAAACCCAGGACTTGAACTTGAGGTCCCCCTAAGACAAAGCCCATCCTGCTGCCTCTAGAATTGCAGGCGACGTTCCCCACCTTGTAAGTCTCCTTCCTCCTTAGCGCTGCAACTCGCCTTTCCTCCTGGCTTGCTCTGCGCTCTGCCTGCTCTTCTGGGGTTGTTTGGTTTGGCTTTAAAATGGCAGCGTTTTCGGGCTACTCACACATCCCCTAATTCCCATACCAGCGACCGTGGGGTTATATTCCGCATGACTGGAGCACCAAGGTAAAGGACAGGGTTGGGACCAACGCATGTGTCGTCCGAGGCCACCGAGGAGCTCACTTCGGTAGTGCAGGCTCAGTCCCACCCCCACAGCCCTTTACACGGGATGCAAACACGGTTTGCACTCGGCTCTCAGGCCAATTTCTACCCGTTCCCACATCCCACCTGGAGTCCTCATCTTTCTGTGCTTTTTGTCACATCTTTACCTGGGGTTTCTCTTGGGCTCATTTTATCGGTTGATGATTTTACCAGATGGGTAGGATGTCAAACCAAGAAAGGGGTACAGTCCTAAATCCAGGGTGGAGGAAGGGAGGTAGCTTGTTAACAGTGTTCACTCACCCCTCACGTATGGCTCGCACACCTTCTACCTGCCGGAGATGTGCCAGTGTTGTACCTCAGGTCTTTACAGTGTCCTGTCCTTAGAAAGCGTCACACACACTAATTCCTTTGTTTTTACACCATCCTTGGAAGGTGTATATTCACATCCCCATTTTATCTTTACAGAGAAGTACAGTGAGTTGCCCAAACCTGTACCCTGCACTTGACCTCTGGTTGGGCGCTTCACCCCACTGTGCCCCCCTCCCCCCTTGAGAAAACACATCAAAAGTTGTCCTATAAACGTAGTCATCATCCACTCCCTGTAGCAGAGGAATGGTCTGGGCTCAGGCACCAGCTTGGCTGGTCTGGGTCGCCTCCTGCCACCCCCTGCCTGCTCTTTGTCCCACACCAGTTGTGTGACACATCACATCCCAGATGGCCAAAACCTCAGCTGGTAGAAGGTGCGAGTAGCCTTTGGAGGTAAAGGCGCTCCACACCAGGGGTTTGTATTTGCTCACAAGTAGCAAATGTTGCCTTTAGCCACTGTGTACCGTCAGATGGCCTAGAACTCCGAGGCCATGGGCAATCCACACCTGCCCGTTGGCCCACACTGCAGGGACGCTGTCTTTCCTGTGGCCTCGGTAGTAACCTTCCTGCATCGTCCCCAAGGAGTGCTGGGAGGATGTCTGGAGCCTGGCCGCACTGTTCACTCCCACCATCACTCACCTGCCCATTCACGTGTCCACAGGCACCACGAGGTGCCCTGGCTCTGGGCCTACTCAGACCCCAGCTGGCACCGGGACCCACTGCCCACAGGCTGACGGTTATGAGTAGGGTTGGCTCAGAGGTGGCAAGAACAATCTTTTCTGTGTTAAAAATACAATAGCTTGTTGAAGCCACTGTCTGTCTTTTCCCTAAGGATCCAAAAAGCACTTTCATTATCCTTTGCAGTAGGTGGTGGTGGAGATAGAATTCTAAGTAGCAGAATCTTAAGTACTTCAAGATCTCCAATTTGTCTTCAAGGAGATTGTCTCTTTCTGGGCCTAACTTTGATAACAGTTGTGGAGGGCTCGTTTGTAAAGCATTAAGGGAATGAAAAACTCCAGATGAAAAACTAAGCATTATCACTCACAGGACCAAACCTGGGGTAAAAATAGCTGTGCTTGCCCTGCGCCTGCCCCCCTGGTGTGGGGGAAGCGCCTTCTCTCTGGTGTGATCTCTCTCAGAATAAAACGTCCTCCTGGGTCTTGCACCTCATCTGACCCTGACATTCAGCCTCCAGCTTTTCCGGGCCTTTCTTCTCCATGGCTTGCTGAGATACTCAACAGGTGCTGTTTTTATTCTCAGCCCTCAGCCTGTCCCAACCACAGGTGTCTCCATCTAAGTGAACAGGTTTAAGAAAGGCTTTCATTTATTAAAATGTGATTTCTTTCTTTGGGGACCAGGGGGCATTCCAAAGAGAGTTAGAGGGAGAAAGAAGGGGAAAGCTTTCTGATGGCAGGCGGTTTTGAGATGGACGGTTGCATTCCCGTCCCTATAATCACAGAGCCGTGTACAGGCTGCGCAGGTCTCCATAACTCCCCCTTAGCTCTGGGTCAGCAGCAAAGCGTGAGTCTTTAGGCAAGGAGGGTTCCTGCCCCATGTGTTACACTACTTGGCTTTCCAAGCTCAGGCAGCCCTTAGGAGTGATCCTCCTCTGGACACCAGCTTTAGAATTTGATGTCCCTGAGTATCCATCCCTATCCCCAGGCTTCTCAGTGTTGGTGTTTATAGGTCCCCCTTCTAGGTCTTGGGAACTCTTAGTTTTTTATTTCTTTGCAGTTAAGCCATGGCTTTTGGAACTTCCCGTTGGAAGATGATTTGTGAATACCCTGCAGATGGCACTCAAAGGAATGGTCAGACCTGTGCAGTTTTCCACAGAACAGATGGACAAACCTAGAGCTAGATGGGGAGATCACCAGCTAGTGAGGGACATTATACGTGGGCTGGCCTTCCTCATCCTTTTAAAGACTTCACCTTGAATTTTTTCCCAGAAATTCCTTTTTGCTCAGCTTGCATGGCTAGTGAATAGCAAAGGGAATGCAAATGATCTCTTTTTAAGGGAGCACAGGTCTCAGCCTCCAGAGCACTGAAGTAGATTCACTTGAAATCTTCCAGGCCATAGGTGTCGATTAACCAGGTTTCCAAAGGACCGGCTCCTCGAAGCCAGCTCTCCTGGGGCTGTAAGACTGGCTCACAACACGTTTGCCTGGAGCCTGTGCAGCTTCTCCATTCTCTGCTCTCACATATGCCCATTTTGCCATTCCTTGTTTGACATCCACGTTTTCCCACACGGTGACCTTGAGACCTACTCAGCCCTGCATTATAATCGTGGCGCTTCCTGGGGTTTCTCCCCAGCAGCACTGTTGACGTCCGGGGCTGGGTCCTTCTCTGTGTTGTGAGGAGTGTGCTCTGCACTGCGCAATGTAACAGCCTCCTGACCTCTACCCGCTGGATGCCAGGAGCACCCCCTGTCCACGGCAGGGCAGCCAAGCATGAATTCAGGCATTGCCACATGTCCCTGGGGTGCGGATGGGGGACACAGAGCTGTCCCTGTTTGAGAACCACTGGTCCATCCAAAGGAGGCCTATTTCTTTAGCTGTTGTCATCACTGCAGTGTCTGAAGTTGGTTCCTGTTGGTTGATTTTGCTGATGAATCCAGTGCAGACCCCTGATTAATTCTTGAGAAGAGACAGTGTGCCTCCTTTCTTCCCCGACATGATTTTGAATGGCTCAGAATGGCCTGAGCATGTGGGGGGACGCAGGTTCTGCTTCTGCTGACCTTTGCTTTGGAGGCTCTTTGTGCCGGTCCAGGGAAACGCACATGGAAATGGAGAGCGTGGAGCGAACGCGGGAGGGAGGACCCGGGTGACGAGCCAGCCTGCTATTCGCCATGGCCTCTGTAGAGCGACTGGAAGGGGCCCAAACAATCCCTGCCTCCCAGCCCCATCCCACACACATGACCCCCACATACCCGCCCTGCAGTCACTGGTCTGAACTCTCCTCCAGTGGAGAGCAGGTGGTCGCTTATGAAAAGGAAAGCAGCCCCAGAAATGAAAGACCTTCCACAGGCTCTTAGGGGCAGGCTTCATTTGATGGTAAGAGGGTGGAAACAGCAAACAGAACTAGATTCTCAAGATGGGGAAGCAATGTGAAAGAAGAGGTGAGAACAGAGAGCCTGTGAGATGAGTCTGACCCAGCAGAAATAATAGGAACAGAGTTCTCACCCGGGCTGGGCTCTGTGCAATACACAGGACCTTTAACATTCTTAGCAGCCCAGAGAGGAAGGGACGCTGCTCTCCCCATTTTACAGATGAAGGAATGGGGTAGACCCCACTTCACAGCTTACCTAGGGCCATTCTCTGTTAAAGACCCAGGAAAACGTAGTTCGTGTAAAACTTCTGCTGACTCTGGACTAATCCGTGCTGCCGTGCAGTAGCAGCAGGTAAAGGGTGATCATTTGCAACACGTGGAATATCATGATTTGTATCACCGGTGCAACTCCCAACACACCAAGTCATCCTGGGGGCTTTGACATGCCACAAGCTCTGGCTTGCTAGGAAAGTGAGGACACCCCTGTTCCTATTTGGGAGGGGAGGGCTCCCTGCAGTGCTGTGGAAGCTGCTGTGATTCTCAGAGCCTCTAACAGGGGGCCTCTGTCTGCAGCCCCATCAGCGCCGAGTGCCCTGGGGGACCCTGGAAGACAGGAATGTTCAGGACAGCAGACTTTTCTCTGCCTCTTCAGGGCACCAGAGCAAACCCCCTCCAGCCTCGGACCACCCTACGAATGAACTCCATGGCTTCCAATTGGACAGACATATCTAGATATGCTGAAGGCCAGCTGGGACCAAGGGTCAATGTCCCAGCCTGACTGCCACACCCACCTCAGTATTGGTGGAAGATTATTTTAGGGGCTGAGGTTTTAAGGACCTCCCAGTTAGAAAACAAGAGCAGTGTAGCTTTTACTTTATTAAAAATATGGTTGCAAAGAACCAGCCGTAGGACAATAATCACAGCCTCTCAGTTCAGGGGTAACTGCCTGCATTCCCACCCAACATCCTGGCCTCTCCAGATGGAACCGGGTTGGTGGCACTGTGCGTGTGGCATCTGTGCTCATGGCCCCGTTTGCTCTGGGAGGTAGAGGCAAAATAAAGGAGGCTGTGTCCTTTCTGTTGCCATCCTGGCAACAGTGCCTTTGCACATAGGGCTTCAGTTCCAGGGATGGTTCAAGATTTGCATTTGAGCGACTCTTGGTTATTATTTGCTGTGCCTGGCTTTTGAATCCAATAAGCCTGCAAGTTTTCCAAATTCTTCCTGCCTAACCAGCCCTGACTCCAAGAGGCCATGCACTGCTTCCTGTGTTTCATGATACTTACGACCTTCCCCTCTTCTGCTTTATTTTCCCCACAGTGTGGCAAAGGAGCGGAAAACTTTGACAAGTTCTTCACACGGGGGCAGCCTGTCTTAACGCCGCCGGATCAGCTGGTCATCGCTAACATCGACCAGTCCGATTTTGAAGGGTTCTCGTATGTCAATCCTCAGTTTATACACCCCATCTTACAGAGCGCGGTATGAAACTCACCAACGAGAGCAAATGCCTCCCCAGCCCCCAGCCCCTCGCAGTGGGAAACAATCCTAACCCTAAAATGTTAAGGCCACAACCTTTTTTCTTGTTCCAGACGGAGGCCTGAAAATTGTAGGGTTCTTAGTCCAAATATGATCAACTGTACAGGGTCTCTCTCTCACAACCAAGAACATTATCTTAGTGGAAGATGATTCGATGTACAGCGTCCAGTTTAATTATGTAGAAGTCACATCTGACTGTAGGTTAACCCCTTCCAGAAAGCAAACAGACTCTTGCCCTCTTTTCTGGTACGATTTGATATCTTTTCCATACCCTCTTGTCTATTCATTTTCACCATTGGGATGCCCCCAGCCAGAGATGTTAAAATGAACCTGCCCCAGTCCAGTGGGCTGGAAACATCTCCACCCAAGATGTCTTTGGAATGAAAAGCATGGGGGAGTCCAGAATGGGAGCAAGGCAGGACCGTGGGGGACAGGGTGGGGGAGGCCTCCAAGCACCCGCTGCTTCTGTTCTCTGCCTCGATGGACACGGTCCCTGGAATCCGAGGGACAAATCTAGTCCCACTGGTGACTCATTTGCAAGCCCACTGTTCCCAAATGTTGACAGTCATCACCCAATCATGGTCCAGTGGTCACCCCATTTTAAAAAAGAAAATATGAGAGTCGGGTGAATCCACCTGGTACCCTACTTGGTTGATAACTCTCTTGATACTTGTATTTCCTTTTAAGAGGCCAAATCTTCTAAGGACTTTGCTAAAGGAGCATGTGAAATCATTTCAGATCAAGGAAAAACCAGTGTGTGTGTATGTTCATTTTAATCTCTGGGAGATTTTTCTGTGATCAGGGTGCCATCAGCAACCATGCCACTATTCACGAGTGTTGTTAGCCAACCCCCCACACCAGTGTTTTGCTACCTATTTCCTGAGAAGCTGAAGTGTACGCCCCCTCCCCTTTTGTACTTATTTATTTAATAGGCTGAAGTGTCATTTATGAGAGTACAATGTACAGTAACTTAATCAAAGTGTTGACTCTAGCATCAATCCCTTTTGATTGATTTCCCTCCCATCTCCAGCCTTTGACATCCACTTAGGGATGAAAAATAATAACCGTTTTGGTCCCCATTTCCAGTACATGCTGGATGACATGCCTGAAGCCGTAGAATCAGGAAGCCCGGATGCATATCAACTCAAAGATGTTTTATCACTAGAAGGATTTTAATATGTTTTGCTAATGCATCATGCAATGAATTTTGCATGTTTATAATAAACCTTAATAACAAGTGAACCTATATTATTAATATAATTGTATTGAGTATAAAGAGAGTATTATAATAATTTTATAAGACACAACTGTGCTATATTTGTGAAGGCTCTTGTTTCTAATCTCTTATGATTAAGTTTTAGCTTAATTCTTTGTAATGTGCTTTGCCTCCCCTCCCCCCCACCATGCATACCCCCATTGTATGGGATACATTAATTTTTTATCATAGATCTAATTTCAAAAATGAATGACTACATGATCAATTAGGCATATATATATATATAGAGAGAGAGAGAGATAGATATATGTATGTGTGTGTATATATATATATATATATGCATATGATTCTACCTGTAAACAAAGGTTTTGTTTGGGAGATTATTTTTGAGATGAGACTCGATCTTAGCTTCTTACCACCACCCCTGGCCCTGGCCCGGCTCCCCCACCACTCTTCTCCTTGGGGAACAGCAGAAAGTGTTTGACTCTGGTATGCCTAGTACGTTTCTGCAGGCATGCTGTCATCACAGCCCAGGCTGGACTTTGTTAGATTTGTTCTTCCTTTCAGCCTTGTTACTGTCAGTGACTTGGGGTGGGAGGGACGGGAAGAAGCCCTTCAAGTGTGTGCGTGGCGTGGCCACCCCAGAAGCCTGCTGTCCATCTTGCTGCCCCTGGAACAATGTACAGACTTCATGAGACGAAACCCCCCACAGGCCGGGGCACAGCTGTCCCCTGGAGCTCTTCACAGACTCTTCAGGAGCTGCATTGTCTTCTGTTGCTTGAACCCGTCTTTCCAGTCTTGTGAGGAGCACCTCTGTGGTGAGACAAGGTCCTCGGAGAAACCAGCCTCCTGCACCAGAAGGAACATTCAAAATGGAATGTTCAGTCCTTAGGGCTGCTCATTTTCCACTTCCCCCTAAAAGCATCTGCTAGCTAAGCAACCCCCATTTTAATTCTCTGGCTGTTTGCCTGAAATTCACATACCACATAACCGCTGAAGGGTCTTCTAGGTGAGAGACCTCATCTATCCTGGGAACCCTTGACTGGAGGAAGAGATGGGGTGGGGGATGGGTCAGACAGGGCACAGCAACTCCTGCCTTCTTTCTTGGACTGGGGACTCGAGAGCTCAAAGGGGGCCCCAGCACACCCAGAGCTGTAGACCTCCTGGTCAGTGCATGGTTTGGGGGACACTTCCCCACCAGGTGCACCCCATTTGGTCTAATAGAAAGGGACCAGTTCGTAGAAGGAGCTTAGGAGATGAGCTGGTCACCGTGTCGCAGAATGGAGCCACAGCAGGACAGATCACCAGCCACCCCCCGGGAGGTGAGCACGTCCCAGGCAGGAGCGCGTGGGGCTGTGGACCGTGAGTTCCCTGGTGCATGCTGCCGCCTGCTTATTATAAGCCAGCAATGGGCTCGGGCTTTCCCTCAAACAGCCAGCACATTTCCAAGTTATTCACATTTCTCTAGGAAGCAGCTTCAGCCTCTTAGCTGAAGTATTCTTTCAGAATCTCTGGCAAAGTTTTAAATGAAAACACCCTGTCTGTGGGACCCAGGACTTTGCCTGAAGGACAGCAGGCTTGAGGACAAACCTGGGGAAAAAGAGTAAAAATGAGGGCCCAGGGAAGTGTTAGCGTGATGTGGCCCGTTCAGTATGTTGCTATGTACTGAATTTAGATAAAGGCCAGTGCTTTAAAGATCTGAGCAACCCAAGACAGTTATTGCTGAAAACAAAGCATGCGGGTAACCATTAAAAACTGTTAGCCACCTAATCAATTTATAAAATTCTCCGGCATTGTCCCACATCACTGGTATTGTGTGAAATAAAGCCGCTGGGAGGGGGCCACTGCTGTAGCTGCAGCAGCCCTGCAGGAGCCCTTGAACAGTCAGGTCCCTTGGGGGGCCCTTGGGAAGTGCCAGCCCTGCGCACTGCCCATATCTCAGGCCCCCCTGGAAGAATCTAGTGGTCTGGGTCTCTGCCAGCTCATCTGTAATTCCAGAAAGCCATTCAAGTCGCCTTGCTTTATTTCCCCTTGAGAGATGGCTGCTGCTCAGCGGTGGAACTTCATCTGTGGCTGCAAGCCAACCGTCTGGCAGCCCTTCCCCTGGCGTCTCACCTCAAGCCACTAGGCGCTTGATTGGGAGTAGCTGGCATGTGCTGTCAGGTGCAGCCGTCAGAAGGTTAATGGGAGGTTCGCTCAGGCAAGAACGAAATCAAAAGGTCGGGATGAGCCCCCAGGAAACAAAATGATGGCTCTTCAGCACGTCTGCTTTACCCCTATGACCTGGTGTGCGTTAATGCAGAATCACTAGCTTTTCTTGAGATGTATTAGGCTTTCTTACTGGGAATTTTGGCAGAAAGTCAGAGGGTTAAGATCTTTGGGAACTTGACCTGAGATGGTTGGTTAAAGATTATGAAAGACCAAAATTAGTGCAGGCCAGCAAATGAAGGGTAAGCATGTGTCTGAGCTACAGCCCTTAGGAGCACGTGGTGACATGCTGGAATGAGGGGACAGCCCCCCACGAGGGCCCCTTGTTGGTGCTCCAAGAGGGGAGAGGTTGGTAGACTGAGGTCAGCACGGACTTCAGAGAAGTGCACCCAGAAGGATGCTTACAGGGCGGAGCCAGGAGGGAGGGGACAGAGAGGGCTTCCCGGGAGGAAGCTACGGCCGTGTCCCATGGCTTCCCATTGGAGGTCATGTGTGCAAGTGAAGGTCCTTGAAGCCGAGCTTCCTGCCAGGGACACATAATCCCTTCCTCCTCAGAAAACGTCTCCCAAGTGCCAACAGCATCCTCCCCAGCTCCCGACCTTGGAGTGTCTCACAATTCTGGGGGCAGAGCCAGACCCCCCGGGGTACCCTGGAAGCCAGTGAGTTCCCACACTTTCGCTCTGTGGCTTCCTGCGGGAATTATGGCCCCTGGGAATGGATGGAGAAGGCGTAAAAACAACTACCGCCACCACCATCCCACCTGGCTCCACCGAGAGGAGAAAGCTGAGGTTTTTGCTGGGGCTTGTTTTCTCAGTCCCGAACAGGGGGCAAAGTTCCTAAGTGGCTCAGAAAGGCAACACCACCTGACAGTTATTTTCTCACTTCAGTCTTATGAAGCACCTATTTGTTGTGCGTGCGTATCACACCGTTTCCTGTTTCTTTTAACCCAGCCAGGCAGGAGTGCCTGTTCCCCCACAAAGGCATCCAACAGTCCTGATTGTGAAATGGACACTGAACCAGGGACCCAAAGGACAGTGACCCTAACGGTTACAGAACAGGAGAGTTAACAGTGAAGGAAAAAGACCTTCTGGTTATTAGGGACTATGCATTAATTTGACAACAAGTATTGGGAAATATTTTTAAAACATCTTCCTTGAGTTTCTGGGGTACATTTAATGAAAGACACCAGACTCAACATTTCTGTCATTTCCCATTGGGACTGAGGCAGCAAATCTGGGGATGCCATATATTTTTGCTGTTAGAAGATACAGAAAATTGGGAAGGGTTACCGGAGTTATACATGGGTGAAGGCAGTCGTCTAGGAACAGTGTCAGTCACGATTTGCGGATTCTATAATGTCAGGGACTCTCTGGGAGGGTGGGAACCAGTATCCGTGTGCCTCTGATCTGTGTGGTCAGGTGTCAGTAACTGTGAAAGTGAAACGCAGTCTTCGAACAGCCTTGCCTTGACCCTCCTAAGGCCCACAAATTCCAAAGACTTTTTTTTAAACCTTAAGGAAGAAATTGACTTAATTCTGATAGAACAACTGAACATACTGGGCTATTTGTACTTTTTTTATAGAGAACTTTAATAACTCAATTCTTCTTTAAAAATGAGTTTTTAAAATGAAACTACTGACAGTTTCATAATATTCCAATCCCATGGAGCCTATAGGAGGACTCAAATGGGGTCAGCTAGGGTGCCCCTGACCTGCCCTCCCACTGCAGGATTTTCCATGCCAGTGGGGTACGGAGTCCACCTCAAAATGCCTGGGAGTTTAGGTGGAAGGTGTTGGCAGACTAATGCCCCCCGTGTTTTTAATAGACACTGGATACAACTGTCTGAGGTCTAGAACCTTGGGCCATGGGAAGGCTGGCTTTACTGTCCTCATCCAGATGCAGCCCTAGGGTAACATTCTCAGGGTCCTGGAATCTCCCTTTGTCTGGAGGCTGTGACCAGCATTTGCCATGGCAGGGAGGGCACTTCTTCAGCTGTGCCTCAGTCCCCGAGCATCCCTAGGTCTCTCACACTCCGTGAAAATTAAGAGATGCCCTAGAAGGATTTTGCCCATTGGGCAATCCAGAAATACTTCAGCCTCAAGAGGGAAGAGGTGGCATCCAGTGCCCCCACTGGCACCTGTCTCACAGACATCCCTTACGTGAGTAGACAGAACCCTACTTTTCGGAAAATAAGTATCCAGTCCACTTTCTAAGAACCTTTTTTTCTAAAGACGAATGGTGGCTTTGCATTTTCCAATTAAACAATTGTGTCTTTGTCTCCTCTGCTCAACTTTAGGAGTATTTATTCCTGTGATTGTCTGTAGATTTTTGTTGATACTCTTCCCGGAAGAATGTGATCCTTGAGGGGATTAGTGGATTATTCCAAATCATACATAAAGGCAATTATATTTTTGAGTCCAAATGGTCTGAAAATCCACCGCGTATGCCCGTCTTTCAGGTTTTTCAGAATACCTTTCATAAATGGTCAGAAACATTTGAAATCATTGCTTTTGCTACATGATCTTTTTGGAGAGGCGAACGACGTGCCATGTTTAAATCATTTATTTGAAAAACATCATGTAAGTCCCACATTTGTATGGAGGAGGAAGAGGAGAGATGGAGGCTGAGGCGGTTCCTTCTGTGTAAGCATCTACTGACAAAATGTACAGGCCATTCAGCTGTCGAATAACATTTGGTTTCTGGCAGGCGAGATGGATGTACACTTAACTGCATCACTTTCCTCAATCTGTGTAACCTCTGATCTTTGTTTGCATGCTATGCTTTGTTAGATACATTCATTGTAGTTTGGAGGCAAGTGTGTATGAATAAATATAATGATTATTCTGTAGTGTACTTGGTCTCCTTTGCCTCCCTTGATGGCATCATAATCACTGTTCGTTAAGTGTTCACCTCATGGCATCTGACTCTGGACACACTCTGCCGAACCCTTTCGTCTACTGTCCTGTTGCATGCGTGTCTTTCCATTGACTTTCACTGTTTTTTTCCTTCTTAAAATACTTCATGCTTTGCATTGAAACCTAAACAGTTCCTGGCAGATCATTTATTCATTTATCACCCGCTCATGGAGCCCATGCTGGAGGCCAGGAGGTGTGCCAGGCACCGGGAGCGTTGGTGCAGAGGACTGGTGTGGCCCCCGCCTGCATGGAGCTTACGTTCTTGCACTCCCAAACTGCAGGGGACATGCAGCACCTGATGAGGACGCCGTCCAAGGGTGTCCTGTTCAGGATTGTCACCATTTTAGTGTCAGCAGCCCTCATCCAATACTTGTTTACTCATGGATGAAATTATGACACGTGAAACGGGGAGCATTCCAGAATACGCAGTGTCTTAAAACTCAACACTCTGGAAGGGATCAGCTTCAAAAATAGTTAAAAGCCAACAGCAGAAACAACACGGGTCAGCCTTGGCAAAGTTCGCCGTTGTTCGCTTGCTCGCCTCCCACCATGCTTTGCATTCAGACCTGCCTGTCCTGAGGTCCCTTTCCTCGAGGCCTTGCTCCCAGCCCACTGAGTACGTTACCCAAGTGCTGGTGTGCGCTGGGTTAATGTTTCGCCCCCAAACTGCTGCGGTCGCACCGGAGTCTCTGAGAGGCTTAGGGCCTCTCTGCTGCCTGTGCACGCGCTGCTGGGAGACTTATTTTGAGGCAGGGCAGACAGCACATCCGGGGCCAGCAGTGTGTGGGCTCCTGGGCTGGCCCGGAACTTCACTCTGGGCTGGTTGCTTTTACATATGTATGTGGTTTGTAGCTATTCCTCATGTTGCCAAGCAGAATGGCAGTATGAAGAATGGCCTGAGGTGGCTCTTAAGCATGCTCTCAGCTTCCACCCGTATGCTGTTCTATTTTCCAAAAGTCTGGTTCAGCTCTGCATTTTATGTTACTTCCTTTTTACTGCAGTGAGACGAGCACAGGGGGTCCTGCTGTGCAGAGCCGCATCCTCAGAAGTAGCTGGTGACCAGGAGGGCCTCAGTTGGCCCATTGTGATTTACCTGTGCAGGGCAACCCCAAGGCCAGCAAGATCAAAGGGGTGGGTCCTCCTGGCCCCACGGAGCCCAAGGGGAAGTCCTGAGCACAGGGGGTACACAGGCAGACCCATCAGGACCTTACACACCACCAATCTTCCCTCCCACCACGAGGGAGGGAAACTGGGGCTCCGTCCTGCAAAGACCAAAGTGGGGACTGGCACTCTCCAGCTGTCCCCGGAAGCCAGTCCCTTCCTCTCCCCCACACACCTGATACCTGTAAATTAGGTGAGCCACTGGCTGGACTGGCAGCCTGTCACCAAGTCAAGACAGAAGGTCACTCAGCTTGGCATGGTCCGTGCACTCGCAGGCACACAGACTGTCATCCTCATGCCCGATCCTTGCCCTGCCCTCATGGCCGCCACCTCTGCACACATCAACACCCATGCGTCTCTGCACCCTACAGCCTCCACCCATGTGTCTCCCATCTCTGGAGAGGCAGCAGAAGGGGCAATTAAGAGCAAACCCCACAGGCACACTGCCCAGTGTCCCACTTAATAATTGTTTGATGAGGGGTGAGTTTCTCTTGCCCCTGCCTCCCCATCTGTAAAGGAGATGGCAGTGACGGTGCCTGCCCCCTCGGGTCATGGTGAGGGCCGGAACAGTGAATCTGGGTGAGGCCTTAGAGCAGAGCTCCCACGAGGGAGGCGTTCACTCTGTCACAAGGGGAGGAAACTGGCGCTGTGTCCTGCAAAGACGAAGCAGAGGGTGGAGCTACAGCGAGAGAATGGCCGCAGGGTTTTTCTTTTTAAGTCCTTTTTGAGAAAGGGGGCCGTGTGCCAGTGGAGGAGGGGATTCCCAGTGTGGAGATACTTACTGAGCCAACCTCAGTCTGGAGCAGGGCTGAATGGAGGCAGCAGGCACCCCCGGCAGGCTTGGGGTGAATGCTCTGTGAATAGGAATGCCGTGTTCGCAGGGAGGAGTGGCTGAGCATGGAGGGAGAGCAGAGGGGACTGCCAGGACCCAGCGGGCAGCTCCCCTGGGCACAACTGGACCCTGTGCGCGGACGACCAGGCCACCACCCAGCCACCTGCCCCCAGGCCAGTACTGCAGGAGAAAAGCCAATGGCCCCTGGAGCAGGAGCTCTGGGCGCCACCCGAGCTGTCCCTCATGCCATCACGACTGCGGAGAGCCCCACTCCTGGCCCCCCGCAGCTACCAAGCAAGTACCTCTTGAAGGAATGAGAGTCAAAGTCTAACGCATGGAGGGATTCCAGCCTGTGTCACTCTGACTGACAGAGGCTCCCTAATATACCTGTCCCTGCCCTGCCATTACAGCCAGTGCCACTTAGTGCGGATGTGGGAGGGGTCTCTAATTGTTCTGTTAAGTTGGGAGCTCCCTGAGGGGCTAGGCGACAGACAATTCAGGGTACACAGGAGCAGGCCCTAGGTAGGCACTTCAGCCACAGAACCCCAGCTTCAAGCAAGAACTGCTGAGCATCCATCCTTCTGCACCGGCATCTCCTCCGTGACCCCCACGCTCACACCTGTACATGACCCACCCTGACTCCCAAGGGAGCCTCCTAACTGGCTGACTTCCTGTGCTCAGCCTCTCCCTTCTCCCCCCTCCCAACAGCCAGAGTGAAGTCCTATCCTGCCGCATCTTTTCTTAAAACACTCCAGGAACATCCCATCGCCCTTGAGAAAGACCAACCCCCAAGCACAGCTCTGAAGCCCTGTGCTAACTCTCCCCACCTCTGGCGTCATCTGGCCCCACGTTCTCCTGGCTCTCTGACCTTCCTTCAATTCCTTAAAAATGCTGTGATGTTCCCAACCCACAGGGCCTTTGCACCTGCTATGCCCTCTGCCTGAAACATCCTTCTTCCAGCCTAGTTCATGCCACCTTACTCTTCATACCTTCACTGATCAGTGACTCTTGGAGAAGCCTTCTCCTTCCCCTCTGCAGCTCGCCCTCCTCCATCCCCCTCATACACTTGCCTAGTGCCCACTTCCCTTCTTTGTTGCCATTTTACATTTGTGGGAATATTTGATTGTCTCCCTTACCAGTTTCTATCTGAAAGCAGGTGTCATGCTGGGTTGAGCCAGCAGTTGGTGTGATGTGTGTGTGTGACTGCTTGTGGGTGCTCAAAACCAGTCCTCCATCCAGTCCTGCCTTCACTGTCCCTGCCCATCCTGCCCACTGATACCCATCCATCAGCAAGCCTGATGTTGGATCTACCCCAAAGCCATGTTTCTCCACCAGGGGTGACTTTGCCCCCCAGGGATACCTGGCAATGTCTGGAGACATTCTTGATGGTCACAACTGGAGGGAGGTGCTCCTGGCATCTAGTAAGTAAAGGTCAAAGACCAAGGATGCTGCCAAATATTCCACAATGCACAGGACAGCCCCCCGCAGCAAAGAATGACAGGCCCAAAATGTCAGTGGTGCTGCTGTTAAAGCCCTGTTCTAAAATGTACTCAGCCCCACGTCCACAGTTCTCCCTGCCTGTCTCCCTGAGGTCACCCCTGATGCCCGTGGTCCTCTCCGCACAGCAGCCTGCATGACCTTGTCTGGCAGATCCCTTCCCTGCGTAAAGCCCTCCAATGGCTGCCCATCACCCTCAGACTGGAACCCAAACTTTCCCACGGCCTTGCAGCCTCCATGATCCGGCTGGAGGCACGCTGGTTCAGTGGTCCAGACTTGAGCTCAGTGACGTGCTGACTTGTTTATTCGTGTGTGTGTGTGTGTGTGTGTGTGTGTGCGCGCGCGTGCGTGCCCCTTCCCAACAGAGTGTGCACTCCCAGGGAGGAGCAAGCTGGTGGTCCTGTTTGCCGCTGGACTCCTGCGGACTAAAGCAGTGCTTGGCACAGAGCAGGGGCTCGGCAGAATGTTCCTTGAATGAATGAGTCCCAAGACTGCTCTAAGTGTAATAAGGTGTCATCCAAACCATTTCTTGTCACAGCCCTTGTCCTCAGAGTGTTCACAAACTAATTAAGGAGACGAGAATTAATTAAAGATCAGCCCTCAGAAACCCTTTGTGACCTCATGCCGTGGAAACCCACCTTCTCGATCTCTGCCCATCGAGCCAGCATCTAGAGGTGATGGCTGCCTGTGGTTACACTTGAGTGACTGTTTAAAGCCCTGAGCTTTTCCTCCAGCCTGTTGTGTGCTCTGCGGCTGAAATTACGGCTTGGCTAAAATGCTAGTGCACACCGGCAAAGCAAAGGCCGTCTGCTTTCACACTCTGCCCCCATCCTGAGAGCACACGTTCCAGGGAACAGGGTTGTGCCTGTGGGGATGTGTGAGAAGTGCTTTTGGCTCTGAGAAAGCAGTACTGGGTCTCTCCAAGATTCTTTTTTGAAAAAGCTAATTCAATAAATGTATGGCCGAGAGGGCTATTCTAGGCAGGAGAGGGGAAAGTACAATATGGTTCTAAAGAAAAGAAAGAGCTGATGGTGGGCTCAAGGGCTCAACAGACATGGGTGAAAATGGCAAAAAGCCAAAGCGTAGCACAAATTATGAATACACACACACACACACACATACTGAGGGGGTGCCAGAACTGTGTGAGGCACACTCCTAGTTACTTTATATGCATTCATTTTAAGCCCACAGTGACAGTGACCACTGCTAGCGGGTCCTATTTGCTGTGCCCATTTAACAGAAGAGGAAAGGAAAGTCCAGAGGGGTTAAACAACAAGACCTGGGTGAGCAACCAAGCAGACTAGGAGAGCCAAGATGTGAGTGGAGCCCGGGGCCTTCCTGGAGGAGGGGGCAGGAAGGCAGAGGTTTGATGAAGGAATGGGAGCAAAGGGGATGTCACGGCCACAGAAACCAACAGGGTGGAAGGGAGAGTGAACTCTTACCCAGGA